ACATGACAAAGCCAAACTGCTGCCTATTAAACAAATGAGTTTTCTCTCCGCACAGGCACAGCGGGTTATTAAATTCTTTATTACAGGAACATCACCATTTGAAGGGGGTAAAAATACGTCTTTATGAGTCATCTGTATGTGCGGAGCAGCGTCGCCTTCTTGTGCCTGCCCTGATACGGAGGGCGGTAGCTGACCCTGTCCTCCGCGGAGATGAGGTTTCTCCGAGCGATCAGGAGAGGCAGAGAGAAGGTGCTGTGATACCTGGCATTCACATCCCAGGTTAGACGTTCATCTGATCAGTAATGACTCATCAACAAATCCGGACTGAACACTGTTGGTGGCTCAGGTGTTCTGCTGGGCCCTGGGACGGTCCATTTGCTCAAGCCCAGGCGTGGCAGCAGCTTCTCAAAGACTCAGCTTCCAGGGGCCTAAAATCCAGGGATATTTATTTTCTCCCTTAACAAGAAGCCTGGAGGTGAGGTGATTGCAGGGTTGGTGTTAATGATTCAGTGATGTCGTCATCACTAAAAACTGTTAAGATTTTTTTTGTTTGTTTGTTTTTTTCCAGTACCTGGAATTGAACTCATGACCTTGCGCTTGCCAGGCAGGCGCTATGCCGCTGAGCTAAATCCCCAGCCCCTATCACTAAAAACTGATGTTGCCATGTTTGCATTCCTCTTCTCTCAGTGTGATGCGTGTCCCATCACGGTCACAAAATAGCTGCCATAGCTCCAAATATTTTGACTGCTCATAGCTATGAGGTATGATTGAAAAATAAGGTGAATGTTCAAATTTTTTTAAGACTTTACTACAGTGAAAGACACATCGCTATTAATCTCCTCAAGATACTCCTCCTTACTTCAAACACACTTATCCTATCATTATTGCCAAGTTCTGAAGCATTTCTGGAAGTCTTTTTTCATGAGTGTCTTGGTTGCTTTGTCATGGCTGCCTCAATGTCCTGATTTGATTCAAAACATTTACTTTTCATACTCATTTTGACTTTGGAGAAAAGCCAGAATTAGCACAATGTCAGATCCTTTAATAAATATGATGGATGAGGACCCAGCATGATATTTTTACAAGCCTACCTTTTGGTTAGATCATATTCAGCAGCAGCATTCACTATATTTTTGATCACATGTTGTAAGACACTCATGAAGGAGGACTTCCAGAACTGCTTCAGAAAGTGGTGAGAATGAAGGGACAAGTGTGCTCGAAGTGAGGGGGAAGATTTTGAGGGAGATTAATGGCAGTGTGTCTTTTACTGTGACACAGTTTTTTAAAAGTTAAATATTTGCCTCTTGTATATCCAACAGTAGTCTCTACCTCCACATCGTAGTCATTGTATCAGGAAGCAAATTTTTTTTCAAAAAGCCCCACCAGGTCTTGCTTCAGGCTGACCCCAGCAGTAAGGGGACGTCAAGGAACAGGTTGGGGTGGGATGGCTATTCACACGCTCCCTGTGGGCCTCCAGAAAGGCTCCTCTTTTCCAGGCCTCACAACCCCCTTGTATCCTTTACCAGTTAAAGGAATACAAGATGAACAGACTGGAAAGCTTCCATTGGACAAAAGAAGGCGCCACCAAAATGAAACCCCAAGCTACCTCTTAGCTTGCTCACTCTCCTGGTATCTCTCTGGCTCCTGCTGTGCTGGCTTCTATCTTCTCCCCAAGGTGCCCTCTTGCCCTCCTCTGCTTTGCTCTGTGCTCCCAAAGGTGGCTTTTGTGGACACCTTTAAGGGGCTCCATTTTGGGGGTGGGGCATTAGAAACTGAGCCTGGGGAGCTTTAAGCTACATCCTCATTTTTATTTTATTTTATTTTATTTAAGATAGGGTCTTTCTAAGTTACCCAGGCTTGCTTCAAGCTTATTATTCTCTTGCCTCAGCCTCCCCAATAGCTGGGACTACAGGAAGGGACCTTGTTGCCTTCTGGCTTCATTTGGGATGTAGCTATGTGAGGTACAACCGGAGATGAGAGCTGAGAGGAGGGGGAGTTGGGCCTTATTTCCCCAGTGCCTTCTTGCAGCTGTGGAATTGTCCATGTCCCCTGCTGGGCTGTTCTCTTCCATAGCTATTTGACAAGATTCTGGTATCTGCTCCTTTCCCTGCCCTTCACACCTGGAGCCCTGGGATGCTGCATACACCATCCCTGCAGGGCTCCTCCATGTCTACCCATCACTACACAATCCCTAGTTCCCTATTTAGGCATGGCATCTGTTGGGAGGCTGGGCCCCAGCCTTTCACCAGGTTCTCTACATTTTATTTTGTTCTCCACTCCAGCTATGCACCTGGACAATGTCCTTGTGGTCCCCACCAATCTGCTATGTAGCTATTGGCTAGCCCTGGCCCACAGCCATGCCCCCTACCGTTGTCTCAGACCACAGCCTGGATGTGTGTCCTGGTTCCCACTCAGCCAAAGGAGCACAGAGACTCACTGACTCAATGCTACCTGGAGGTCCTAGAGGATGGAGGATGGGTAAGTGATGCAGACCACTACATAGCAGCTCTGAGCAGGATTTAATATTAACCAGTTGGCTTTCCATGCTTACTTGTGATTTGTTCCAGGCCCAGGTCCCTTGTCTGGAGATGGGCAGCAAACTCATAATAAGTGAACCTCTGTAAGTCACTGGTCCCAACTGAGGCCTGTAGTGGCCAGTGAAGCCAGGATGCTTCAGAGGACAAGACAAGGCCACAGCTAAGGATACCTGGCTCCAACCTCAATTAACTAGATAAAGACTATAGCTGCAGGCATCTCACTCCTGGGTGGAGACCTTCCTGGAGATAGCATAGTTCTCCTAAATTAATGTAATGTCTTACTTGAAGGAGCCCTTGAGCAGACTTCCAAGGCCCTTGAAGGGTCCTGCTCAGATTACTGCCTTTCTTCAGTATTCCCTTCCTTTGTTTTGATAACTAAATAGATATGGGCTGCCCAGAGAAGATCTTGATCTTAGCCCCCAGAAAATTTTGAACTCTTAGAGGGTTAGAGGGTTTTGACCCTCCTGGAGCCCTAAAATCATACCACTTGATTCATTTATTTAAGCCTTCCCTGTACACTCGTTTGGGAGACTGCGGGCCTGCTCAGTTGGCAATAACTAAGAGATAATATTAATGTGTTAGATAAGGGAAGAAGAAGAAGAGAGAGAAAGAGGAAGAAGAAGAGGAGGAAGGAGAAGAGGAAGAAGAAGAGGAGGAAGAGGAAAGATGTGAAGGGTGGGAAGGGGAAGGAGCTGGGCAGGAACCTCCCTGAACAGCCCTGCCTGTCCCTGGAGAGTGTGAACAGTGCCCCATTGGCTCTGGCATGTGTACACTGGGGGTTCCCACAGGCACTGGGAGGTGCCGCTCTCCTCTGCGGCAGCCCAAAATGTCTCAGCCATGTCTGAGAAGCAAGGGCTCAGGACTTAACATTTCTATATATAAGAAGTGATTGAAATATGCAGTGAATGTTTAAATTAAAAAGAATTATTACAGTAAAAGATTCATTGCCATTAATCCCCCTCAAAACATCCCCCTTGTTTTGAGCGCATTTACCCATCACTCTTCCCATTTTCTGAAGCAGTTCCAGAAGTCCTCCTTCCTGAGTATCTTTAGAGGGTGATTGAAAATACAGTGAATGCTGCTCCCGAGTGCCAACCAACAGAAAGGCTGGTGTGGAAAGGCATTAGAATGTGTCCTTACCCACCTATTCACCGGATCTGGCCTCACGTCACTTCTGGCTCTTCTTCAAAGTAAAAATGACAATGAAAGATAAATGTTTTTGAATCAGTTCAGGGCAGGCCGGGCATAGTGATGCATGCCTGTAATCCCAGCCCCTGGGGGGCTGCGGCAGGAGAATGACAGCAAGTTCGAGGCCAGCTTGTGCTGCATAGTGAGACCCTGTCTCAAAAAAAAGATATCACACTCTGAGTCAGTTCAGGATGTTGAGGCAGTCACGACAGGGCAACTAAAGACACTCCTGAAACGACTTGTAGAACTGTTTCAGGAAGTGACAGGAACAATGGTGTAAGTGTGTTCAAAGTGAGGATGATTAATGGTAACATATCTTTTACTGTAATGAATTTTTAAAATGTAAACACTCACTGTAGTTTTCCATCACACCTTGTATGTTGTTGCTGTTCTTTTTCACAGTAGCCAAACAGAGTAAACACAATGATCTCCATTTTCCTGATGTGGAAAAGGAGGCACAGAGCTGTCAGCATCTTGTCTAAGGTCGTGCATCATTCCTACCCAAGGTCTCTTGACTTCAAATTCTGTGGGTGCCTAGTCCCTGCTCTGAATGATTTTGGGTTCTCTATGTTGAACTGAGGGTTGTTCTACTTGTGAAATAGGATAATGACTACCTTCTCAGTTTGTGGATAGAATTCCTTAGTACATATAATTTCTTTGATTATTCTGTTGTTTTCTGAATTTTTTCAGAGTCCTTTGGCACTTATGTTATCATCGACACCAGACTCTCATATATGGTGCTACCTGATTTAGCACATTATGTAGTTAACTCCAGTTCCTCAGTAGTGAAAAATGTTCTGTACAGATTTAATGCACTGCCCTGTGTCTTGCGCCCAGGTCAGCAGTTTCTCACAACTGGTTCCACACCCTGAAAAGTGAATCCAGACACCTCAAATTCTAAATAAACAGGCGGAGAGTCCCCAGGGTCCTGTGTTGGAATGGATGTGTGTTGGCGACTGGTCTCAAGGTCGGGGAAAGGGCTGGGCTCCACTATGCTGGGCTCCACTATGCCACAGGCACAAAAGTGCAGCTGCCGACATGCTGGCCGTTATTTAAATATCCTGACCCATTCTTGTTCCTCTAGCAGAAGAAAAGAAGCTGATTTCTATCCATCTTATTCTTAGTTCTCCTTGGGATGACCAAGGTGCAGCAGAGGGGCCAATCTGCCTTCATTCTCCCTGACTGTATTAAGCGGTAATCACGACGGCATTGAATATGTTCACTTAATATTATTTAAGCATATTTTTTAATAGCACGACAATGCTCTAACTCTACCTGCAGACCCTAACAGCTACTGGGCAAAGGGGCAGCAGCTAGGCTTCCAGGAAGAAGCTGCACCAGTGTGCAGTCTGTCCATCATCCTGGCTTGATTCCTTGAGGGTGATATCCTGGTGGGTGGGTCGTGGGCTGTTCCACAGGAAGATAAGGATGGAGATGAGCAGGAGAGGAGGCGACATCCGGGAAGTTCAGGGACACACGGAAGAAGCGACCCCTGCTGGCCAGGAGCAGAATGACATTGGCTTCCAGTGCCTGGCAGGAGGATGACTGAACTTGAGGGGTCAATGGGATCAGTGGACTAATGGAAGAGCCACTCATGACTTTTTCCCTGTCATGCCCCGAGTTGCCATAGCATTTTATCCCAGCCCTTGGAGGGTGGAGAAAAGTGTGCAGGGGAGAATGAGTGTGACACTGAAACATGGCCTGTCTCATCCTGAAGGGGCTGGAAGGGATAGGGTAGGGAAGGCCACCACTGGGGGCCTCAGGGATACCTGGACGTATATTCCAGAATCCTGGGGAGAGGCTTGTGGACCTGTGCCTTATGGCTTGGTGCTTGGGTTCAACAGTGACCCTTCCTGGTGGGTAACTTCTGGGTTACACTACTGTTTTGGGGACAGTGGGTCATCCTGGAGACTGGTACAGGACAGAGGCTTTAGACATCCTATCCCCAGCCCCTCTGCTGCTGGCCCCATAAGGCCACCACTCCAGATTGCTCTGCAAGCTGCTCCCCAGCTCCCTCCTCTGCACACACCAGCCCTGCTCCCCAGCACCACTCCTTTCCCAGTTCATCCGGTTTACCTTGTCTGCTTGGTGGCATCTGTCTCATCCTACACGGTCGGTTGCCCTGTCCCCAAGCAGAGTTGACCACGTCCTCATCCCCACTCCAGTACTGCTGCAGTACAACAGATATCCTGTGTTAATGTCATAGGTGTGATAATGTTGTCACACTAGGGAAAGGACCAGAGCTGTGACTGGTGAGGCACCTCCTTCATGCATGCACTGAGCAATAGACATGCGTAGATGGTCTCCTTTTATTCTTGTGACAGTACTGTGTGTAGGTATGATTATTGTCCTACTGAGGGGTACAGAACTGGGGATCAGAGGGGATGGAGAGATCACACAGTTGCAGTTCCCACTTCACCCCCTGGAAAATACCTGAGTTGTGGGATTTGCTAATTTCCCTGGTATAAATATCCCAGTGGTGGTGATTTCAAGCTATTGATGCTTTCACAACTGCTTATGATATCCCTGGAAATTTAGCAGTGGACTCTGAGCTGACACAAGCTAGGGTCCCTGCCACAGTTGTCCATCTCCAGGAACGAGACTCTGGCTGCTCAAGAGTAGGAACTGGATGCAGAACCCATTACCCGCCCCATCCCTTCATGGTGACTGAGCTTAGTAGATACAAAGTTCATGTTTGTTGAACTGAGTTGGATTTCTGAGCAGAGAGGGCAGAGGGTGCCTCGACAAAGCCCCTTTGCAGGAAACTTCTCCTCCACTGAGGTGGACACGGTCCATGAGTCTCAGACCCATGTTCTGGCTGTCTAAGAAGAAAGGAAGGAACAGAGCTGGGACAGGGATATTCCTGGATGCAGAGCATAGAGTGGACCTGAGGTTGGGGGCTGCAGAAGTTCCAAGCTGGGGGATGGGGTCACATCTGGGCATCTAATAGGGTGAAGTTTAGGAGAGTTGTCCAGTGGGGCAGAGGGTTGGCTGGGGCCCTTCTGCTTGGAGAAGGTTTTGGGAGTATTTGAGCATTTTCTTTTCTATAGAATGATTCCTCAGTGACCCTTTCTTTCAAATGAAGGTAAGGGGTTTTATCTGGAGATTGCAGATCCTTTAGCATTAGCGCACATGCTTCAGGAGGTCCAGGGTGTCATGGAGATTGTGAAATGCAGTGTGAATTATGTGTATATATCCTTTCTTGGGAAGGGGGTTCCATAGCCTTCATCAAATTCTCAAAGTGTTCTGTGACCCTCTTAAAAAAGGATTTATTGAAAGGATTTGTCTAAAAGGGGGATTATCCAATAAGTGGTTTGGGACAACGGGCTAACTCCTTTGGAAGAAAAAAAAACAACTTGATTCCTACATAACTCCTTATATCAAAATGCAGTCCAGATGGATCAAGGATTAAAATGTTTGAAAAATGAAGCAATAAAAATAATGGGTGAAATTGGAATAAATATATTTATGACGTTGGAGTTGGAAACCAGTTTTCAAAGTAGGGGAAAAAATCCAGAATTTAAATGTGTAGGAAAAGATTGATTCATCTGGCTGAAGAAAATTAAAACTTTTTGTGGGGAAAAAATGAATAGGGGGCAATTGTGATCAAAAGACATGAGGTTAATGGTAAAAATATTAATAGCACGAATTGCAGATGGGAAGTCTGTTCATTAATTTATAAAGCACTCGGACAACTCATAAGAAAGGAGTAATATACCCAAGTACACCAATGTACATGTGACATGGCTGGGAAGTGTACATTAAAGAGCACAAGTCCATTAAAAAAAAGATGTCTAGCAATTCACTAAATAAAGAAATGCAAGTGGATACCAAAACTGAGATTATAATTTTTTTACCTCGTGGATTGAAATTCATATTGATAGTGTTTCGTTCTATTCCAGTTTTATATTTTATTTAGTATTCTAGAGCTTGATATTTAGAATGCATCCAATGCTCAGGAATTATAAACAGTATCACCAAGAATAATTTTGCAGCTAAATCTATGATTATTTACTTAAGGTAAATTCCTAGAAGATCCCCAACATTTAGCATTCTACAGCCAAGCTTTTCCAAGTGACCAGCCTGGGCTGTGGTGAGAGCTTTTCAGCCCTCTGAGAGATGGGATCCTGGATTTGTAGGTTGGAAAAATTGTAAATAATGTCAAAGGAGCATCTATTATGAACAAAACTATGTGCTGGGCACTTTTGCATTTATTGAGCATCTCAAATGCAAATCAACAAGAAATGAAGTATCTTTTTTCCACTGTCCACACCAGAGGACCAGAAAGGTTTAGTAGGTTCTCTGAGATTGCACAGTGAATTAACAGCTGAGACTGGGACCTCAGACCTCTCTTGTTGGGGTTGGAAAGAAGCAAGTCATTGTCAGAGAGGTGGAAGACTCCCGAAGTCAATGTTGTCCACTCTTTTCCCAAAGATTGGCCTCACCCCGATGGGTACCCTGATGTACGTCCCTCAAGAGAAAGTTCTGAGTAGCCTCAGGGTGGTTGTATGAGTTTGTACAAAGAACAGATGAATGGAGATTAATTAGCCATAAGCACAGGGAAGTTACTGTCCCCTGACATTTTAGGTACATTTAAATGCACCACTCAGGCCAATTCAGAATATTTTCTCCTCTAATTACTCCTTCCAACCCTTCTAATTGCCTTTCTCCTAATAGCCTTTGCCAGCTAAGCCAGCCTACCCATCTTCTCTGCCTTCTACTTGACCTCCTGCTTCTACTTGATCTCCCCCTTCTACTTGACCTCCCCACCCAGGACCACCCAACTAAGTCTCTGGGTTCAGGTCAAAAGTCTTAAACTGCAAAGAGTACTTTCAATGTATTCTAAAGTTCCAATAAAGTTAGGAGTTTGAGGGCTCAGAGATCATTTCCTAAGAGGAATTACTACTCCAGCTCATAACCCTGTCTCCAGATCTGCTGTAGATGGCCAAAGGAGATAAACGACGATTCTGAAAACAGCCAGTGTAAGCAGAGAGATGGACTGTCTTATCCACATCTATGACAAACAATAAGTTACTTTCCTTACTCTGCTATTACTCTAAATTGGTCTCCAGACAAAATTATTCCAAAAAGATCTGAGTCTTTTTGATAGCAGAGAATATAAGAGACAGTGTAAGAAGGATCAAAAGATCCTTTTAAAAAAAATATCCATATTCTTTGACCCAGCACAATTTCCCTCCTACAAATTTATCTCAAGGAAATGATCCAATTTGTACAAAGATCCACGTACAATATGTTCTTCAGCATCTCTTATAATATTGAAGAAATGGAAACAAACCAATTGTTCAAGAGAAGGGACTGACCAAGAAAATCAATATGGCTTTAACAATTAAAAATTGTGCTCTAGGAAAGATAATGATCAGAATGTGACAGTCAGTGGTGTGGCGGGGTAAGTACAACAGGCTAGGATGCAGTATATGCAACATGGCATGTTTAGTAAAGAAAAAATACTGAGAGGAGAGAGCAAGAAGGCTGGAAATCTATATACCAAAAAATGTTAAAGAGTTTTCCTCACATGATGGAATTACAAGCAGTTTTTCTTTTTTCTTGTGCTTTTAGATTTTTCACTTTGACTGCATTGAGCTCCCTTTGTAATTAGGAAAACCATTGTTTCAACGCAGTAGTTGTGTCACAGATCCTTTGGTGCCCATTCTAGTTGCAACAGGCTGTAAGTGGGTGCCTGGAGCTGTCTGCCCCTGGGGACAGCAGTTGCTAAGTTGGGTCCAGGATGCAGGTGCTGCTTGGCTTATAGGAAATGTGAGCTTGGCTCATGGATTCATCTCCTGTGATCGTTTTTACCTTCCTGATCCTACAGGGGACAATCAGTATCCCAAATACCCGACCTGTTAGACATAGGGTCTGATTGAAGATCGAGCTCCTCAGATTAGTGCTGGGTTGAAAAATGACCCACGAGTCCCTGGAGATGGAGCAGAGCTAGAGCACAGCGTGGTATTTATAACCCAGCCTCCCTGTGTGGGACCTGGACACCACACGATTTTGACAGATGATCCTCATGAGAAACTTTCAGTTTCCATTTGATTACGAGCCCATAAACACAGATTGCAATGGAGCGGCGTTAGGGCTCTGCTTGAATTGGGCCTGCCAGGGCTCTGGCAGCTTGCTGGATGGCTTGTGCATTCCTGCCCCTCTGGTTCTGAGCAGCTGCCCTAGCTATGCTAGCGGTCTGCTCTGGCTGATCTAGGTATCCACGTGTGCCCTCCATGTGCACGTCTCCCTCTCCTTTTAGCCTGCGTGGAATGTGTTTTTCCTCCGGGTTATTCATTCTCACCTGACTTTGGGTGACGGATGTACCCAGCTGGAAGTTTCCACCAATTTTGGTTGGGGTTCACCAACCTGCTTTGTCTTTCTCACTCATTCATTCATTCACCATTAGACATTGAACAGCTGTTGTATGTCAGAACATGGATCCAGAGGTATGAGGTAGAACTAGGTAGCCACATGCATTGATTTAGAGCTAAGGAACCAAGGAGATGTGGGGGAAGGAAGGGCCTGCCTGGGGTGTGAGGAGGGGACCCCAGCGACTCACTTCCACTCCAGGAAAGTGTCCAGAGCCCGGTGCCCCGGGCTGGACACCATGAAGATTACACAAGACAGTGAAGTGGCTCTAACCCTTCCCTCATGTTCCTTCTCATAACTGAGATTTTCTTCTCGTATTATAGGCTTATTTCTCCCTCTACCTTTGGGGAAAATATTGGAGATTGCTATAGGACCTTGAGGATAAGACAAAGCCATAGCAGACTAATATCTACGGGGTCTTAAGTCCTCACCTGGAATTAATTTGACACCTACTTATTGAGCCTGTACCAAGCACCCTTTGGGGACAAGCACCCTTTGAGGATAAGACAAAGCCATAGCAGACTAATATCTACGGGGTCTTAAGTCCTCACATGGAATTAATTTGACACCTACTTATTGAGCCTGTACCAAGCACCCTTTGGGGACAGGGCAAGAGAGGCCAGCAGAGACAGAGGCCGCCGACACAGGGGACTTCCCTTCTCCTGGGAGGGAAGACAGAGGACATAGCTGAAGACAAATGCACATGTTATGGGTGGAGCGCAGAGAAGAGCATAAGAAAGACTGCGCGGGGGTGGGAGAGACTGGAGGCTGGTGCACAACGCATACAACTGCGGTGAGGACCATGGTGACAACAAAGGAGTGTCTTGTGCCTGATGGGAAGAGAAGAGTGAAGGAGGGTCAGAGTTTGTAGCTCGGGAGTTAGGGCAGTGAAGTGTTGTTGACTGAGCTGGAGAGACCTGGAGGGACATGGGGGAAGGGTTACAACTACCCTTCCCCCTGACACCTCTCCTTTGTCCTAGGGACTCCTCACATGATCCCACTTCTGGTCCCTCATCTAGTGCTAGGATGCGGTGTGCTGTCTTTTTGCTACCCCGCTTATCTGCCTGTCTTCTTCCTTTGCTCCCCCGATATACCGTTTGCACCATGCTCTGTGTTCCAGATGCAGCAGCCAGCAAGAAGATGCCTGCTGTCATGGGGCTCACCATCTAGGGCAAACCACAGCGTGCTGTGCTCTGGCTCAGGGCCAAAGGCTGGACTGTCCAGTCCTTAGCACAGAGGTCTGTGATTCGGCACTATCCCAGGTCCAAACCCTGGACTATGCCTGGATCTAGCTCCTCTCTGCAGATAACTCGTCTACCCTATAGCTGCCAGCCCAGCCCTGCTTTGCACCCACCTCTTCGTGTAGCAGCTGCTCTTGAGTAACTCCTCTTTCCTCCCTGCTCCTGGGAGGCACCGGCTCCGCATCCTGAGCAAACACATCTGGACTTCTTCAGACCACATGACAGGAACATCTGCTGCAGAAAGAAAAGGACACGGAGGCCCTTTTGTAATCACATCTAATTGTCTCCAGCCCCGGGGCACTTGCATTCTGGGTATGGATTTAGGGACTTCCAAGACGTTTCTAGAAGCGAATGATTGCCCCAGGTCCAGCAAGGCTTCTTCAGGCCAGGTGGCAATAAGATGAAGGACACCGGAAGGGCTCAAAGGCAGCTGGGACTGAGCAACAAGCTCTGCACCCGTTTGCTGTCTCCCAGCTGTTCATAGAGCAGGAGAGGGCACACGGCAGGGTCAGAGGAAGGGAGGGCACTATCATCACTACCCGCCATATTCTGTGGCCTCAGGGCTCCCATGCTCCCGTTGCCTTCTACCTGCCAGGTCTCCTTCTCTTTGCCTGAGGGCTTTCTCTGAAGTTGTAAAGGTTAGCTTTGCAGGAGTGAGGAATGAGCACTCTCCTCTGGAGCAGCCTCACTGGCATTGAAGGGGTAAAAGTACCCCAACTGAGAGGACTCAGAGGCATCTGTTTAGGTCCTAGCTACCCTCTGGGAGCTGGCTGGATGGCCTGACCTTCTGGGCCACCTGCTTGGCCATGGATCACCTCCTACCTCCCCCGTGTGGTCCTGCATCCCTAAAGGTGCACTAGATCCTCCTCTCTGGACCTGCTTTGTGGTGATCCTGAACTGACACCAGCACTAGCAAACACCAGCCCCTGTGGGTTTACAGTTTGTCCGAGAGCAGTTTAAACAGCAAGAATCTCAGGTGTTTTGAGGTCTCAAAATGGGAAAGATGCTGTAGAACGCCGTAAGCACATGGAACACTCAGCGGATGTGCTCTTGATGGGCTGTGACTGTAACTGAGTCCTGGAAAGACGTGTTACCTTCTTTGTGCAAGGTGTATCCCACAGGCACTGGAGACGTGCTCCTCTGTCCCTGCTACCTCTCTCAAAGGAGACCCTCTTTCCTTATTGGAGCCATGCTTTTTCACTCCATTCCAGAGTCAGAGATGGAGGCAGAATTTAGATAGCTAATTTTGACATTATTTAAGTCTGTATTAAGACAAAGTCTAAGGGGAAAGTGGAGGGTACTACAGTAGGTTTAACCTCAGCCAGCCATGCAGGCACAGTTTATTCCATCGCTGGGACTTCTGCTGTCTAGAATCCCTTAGCCTCATAATTCTGCCAGTGTGAGTGTTTCCTGGGCCATGTGACATCAGCCATGGTGCAGTCCCAGCATGGTGGGAATCAGCCTTTCGTTACACAGCATGATAGTCAAGCCCAGTGCCTTTCTTTCCACCCCCTAAAAGTTCCCCCTGATCTCATGTGCCTGGATGAACAAGCTTGGCAAATAGTAACTCAATTGATACTGTAGTTTGTAGATTTAACAGACCATGGATGGAAAGTATTTTCAAGAAATTGTGTCTGTACAAAATAAATACAGAGTTTTTTCTTGTCATTATCCCCTAAACAATACAGTATAACAGTGTTTACATAGCATTTAGATTGTATGAGGTGTTATAAGTGTCTAGAGACGATTTAAAATGTACAGGAGGATGGCATAGGTTATCTGCAAACACTGCGATTTTCTCTACAGCACTTGAGCATCTGCAGATTTTGGATTCTGCAAGGGCCCTGGGAACCCATGCCTTGGATGCCCATCATGAGCTCAGCTCTGCACCTTTGTGGAGCATAACAGGGCTGGCCAGCAGGGAGGACTGTCCCTGTTGGATTGAGAGCAAGGGCAGCTTGATGTGAAAGAACCAGGGAAAGAGCACACACAGAGAATAAACCCTTCAGCCTGAGCTGCAGATACCTTAGGCTTTGTGACCTTGGGAAGTCTGGGAGGGAGTCTGTTCTCATTTGGACAGATGGCCCTGCTTGCACACACTTCCTTGCATACCTGACAGCACCACATCCTGCCCGGATTGGGTGGTTGCGAGTGAAGAGGTTGATCAGGCCTCAAAGACACACCTGTCACTGAAAAGCAGCCTTGGACTGTCAGCAAAGGAGTCATATGTGTCACCATCTCTTGACCCCTGCACAGAATTGTCTCAAATAAGCAGGCTGGGTGTGAGGCTCTGAGAGCCGAGGGTGGAGCCAGCTTCCCCATGTCCTGCCTTAGAGGCAAGGGCTGAGGTCTGGAAGGAAGAAGACAGAAGAGTGATGGGCAGGATGTCAAAGTATCCAAGTATCAGCCAGAGGTGTCACAGCCCTGCTCAGCACCAGGCTGGGGCAGACAGTTTCTCCTGGAGCTGATGCTAATCTGAAAAGGCATCTTGCCTAACCAGGCTATCTCTTGGTCCCAGACTTATCCAATTTTCTTCTCAAGGACAGGCAGCCGGCACGGTTCCCTGTTTGTAGTCAGGCTATGCTGCAGTTGGAGAAAGAACGCTGTGGGCATTGCAGAATGTCCCCAGTGTCATTCATGAAGATACAGCAAATAGGACACTGCACAGAAAGAAACTCCATGACACTTGGTACCCACTGGGGCAAGAGGGGCAAATAGCAGGCAAGGATCTCACAAGTCCAGGTCCCATACTGCAAGCAGATGCAGTATGTGCTCTTCTGACGTTCAAATGGGATACGGCCTCAGAATCCTGCTTAACACTACCACCCAGCAGCAGCTACTAACAGTCAGATCCAGGGCTGACATCCAAGATGAAACCTTTTTCCACATCTTCCCTGGGGACTTACATTTTACAATTGATTCATCCACACAGATAAATGTGTAGCAGCTATGTGGATAGCTTGATAAGAAATGTTGAGTGATTTATAATAGCAGAGATGATCATTCACCTTGCCCCAAAGTTAAGGGTTTTCACTACATGGTGAGACTTCAAATCAGAGTGTCATGTGGTTCGTGTCCCTGAATTTGACATGAGGACCATTGTCACTTGAGTTGGGCGGATACAGCAATCTGCTACCCATTCCCTGAGGGGCCCTGTACAGAACACAGAATCTGGACAGAGGGCAAAGCTGATAGGACTGGCTCCTCTGCTCCATCTCCCAGGGTGCGCTCCCTCTATCCCTCTCCTTAGCTCCTTTAGGTAGGTGACCATGTATGACATCACCCAGAGTAAGAAGTGGTACTATTAATAGCCATACCAGAACAATAGAAATAATAGGAGGCGTCCCAGGCAGACAGGGATGCAGATTCCCATGACTACAAGTCTCTATTTTTTTATGGGAAAATGTGTTTATGTGTACTCTGTGTGTGTGCGTGTGTGTAGTTGGGGGGTGTATTGTGGGGCAGGAAGAGAAATCTGATCCTTAGGGGTCAGTCCCTTCCCCAGACCTGTGTCTCTCTGGCTTCTCTGGCTAAACCTTGCTTAAGGGGGAGAATGGCAGTCGATGGGGCTCCTGGCTGAGCTGACGAGGCTCCTGGGGACCAGAGCAATTAATGAAGCCTCAGCTGGCTCTCGGCACAAGCCTGATGTTGTTGAGAGGGCCTTTTAATCACCAGTGACACGGGCAGCCTCCTGCCTCCTCTGCACACCAAGATCCTGCCCAAGCGGCAGAGAAGGAAGGCAGAGAGTTAGTGGAGCCGGTCAGTTCAGCACACTCAGCCCGACGGGCTGGGCAGGCCCAGGCTGTGCTCCCTCCAGCTGCCGGTCTCTGATATGCCCATCTCGGGATCTTCTGCGGCTACAGGGGTATTGACAATATTGAGACAGACAATTCTGAGGTCTTAGGGCCTACACAAAGGGGAAGGGGCTTTCTGGAGCCTCAGGTTTCCTGGGAGGAGGAAGGAACCCTGGTCCTGGCACATTTCATGGTGGACAAAAGAGATCAGAGGCAGCTGAGGCACAGAGGGCTGGGCACAGTTGACACTGGCTGGGCTTGGAGTCATGCTCTGAGAGTCCTTTTGAAGGGACCAGGCAGAACGTTTCATAAGCAGACAACTGGGAATGGGCTTGGAGCCTGGAAACAGAACCTGGAAACAACTTGCAGGAAAAGCCTCAGATTATGGCCAGGATCTTCAGGCCACCTGAGCAGAACCCATAGGAGCTGCCAGTGACCTTGAAGGTGACTCCCACCTCAGCAGTTCAGCACTGTGATGGGACTAGAAACCAGTGTCAATCAATGACCTTGCCCTTGCACCCAGCCCCACCCTGGAGGAAGTGGCTGCAGAATTCTGCCCAAACAGACAGAACTGCAAAAATTACTTCTATTTGGAATGCATTAGGATTCCAATTTGCAAATTCCCTTCCTAAACCCACTTGGCTGGCAGATGTGTTCCTCAACCAACACTGGTAGCCGAGAGAGGGCAGGGCCCCTGTGTGCTAGTCCAGAAAGGACTCAGAAAGGGGTTTGGTATTTCCAATGCAAATCTGCTTTAGGGAAAGTGGGAGTGGAGGCTTGTGTGCAGAGAGAGAGCGTGAGAGAGAAAGGTGAAAGCTGTGGGTATGTTAGGAGATAGGAGCTGTGGAGGCCCAGCCCAGTGACAGTGATGAGGGTGACAGTGCCTGACAGTTGTAGCCCAGGGCTCTCAGCTATCTTCTTGTCTTGTCCTGTGCTCAGCCTTAAGGGATGGGTACTACAGCCACATCCTACAGACGAGAATGCTGAGGACCAAAGAGGCCCATTAACAAGGTCCCACTATTGGTGACAAACAGGGACTGGAGGGCTGTTATGTGCCTCGTGGGGCATTACGCTGGACTGTCATTGAACCTGCCACACTTAGGCAGAGCTGGAGTCAGCAATACAAGCTTCCAGACAATGGATTTTTAGTCCTGATGAGACCAAGAAAGCAGCTGCCATGTGTCCTTCACCACCAGGGCCGCTATATATTTCCCAGGCCTCGTGGATGCAGGATGGGCCTTGGAACCTCTGGTAGCTCTGCCCAGGTATTTGTGCTCCTGAAACACGGCCAGAGAAGGCAGAAGGCTATTGACTTGCCATCCAGGGGTTTTGGTAGAAGTCCCAGTATTTGATCAATATGGCAACTCTGTCTTCATTAAAATCCCAGCCAGGGGCATGAATCAACCTGCTGGGAACCTTG